GGTTAGAAAAGAAATGTTCATTCATTTTAATGTTAATTAATTAGCTTAGTGTTTAATTACAATTATTTTTAGATCTTAATTTTCACTAGCTAGTTAACAATTTACCTCTAATTAATTTAGTATACTTTTTTTCTCAAATTGGAAGATTTTATTAAATATACTTATTAATTTTGAACATTTCAAGACAGTATTTTAAACAAAGTCCCAAGTCATTTTTTTTACGATACTTGTTAAACCCAATGTTTTTCTTTTCCTTTTTCTTATTAAAAAATAAAAGTCTTTTTATTAATTAGCATGTTTTAAAGGAATTCTCAAATGTTTTCTAAATAAAATCTCAGATTATTTTCGAACGTATTTTTAAAACATGGCTAATCATTTTTCTTAGATTCAATTTATTTTCAACATTAAAATTATTTTTTCAATCAAGTCATGAAAAAATTAAATTCTTGAAGTCTAGCACTTCTTGAATTTTTGGACAAACATTATTGGGGTGTACACCTTAAATAAATATGTCATTCAATTTTTCATTTTAGTACGCGATTTAGAACAAAACAATATCATAGGAATCTAACATTCTGTGTGATATTTTATTTGTTCATTCCAACATTTTTCAAATAAAAATGGTGTTATTGGAATCTAGCGTTTCGGTAATACCCCGATTATTTAGTTGTGGGGCCGACGTCTCATTTATTAAATAATCGATATTTTCAAATCCAATCTCGCGTTCTCACTTCTCACACGTTCACAAATTATTTTCATACCCCATTTCGCTTCAAATCCTTTTTAAAATATTTTTTTCGATCAAACTTCGAAAGAAGGAGATTCTTGGAATCTAGCATTCCTTGAATCTTCGAGTGAATAGCTCTCGAGGCACGCTCTTGAGTTGTTATTCACTCAACCTTTTGACTTTCTTTCAAACTCAAACATTTTCAAACATCCTCCTAAGACGAGTGCTCGCACGCATTCGCAACCTTTGACACTTCGCACACACATTCACAATTCCTCGTGGTCTCGATATTAGGAGCACCCTCGGGGACTAATATCGTTTCTCACAATCCTAACACTTGACACGTCGTCAAGTCGGTTCCATCTCCAATCAAATCCTCGGCACGTCGTCGAACTACTTCCAAACCAATTTCCTTTGGCCTCGCATGCCATTCTTCGATTCGATCTTTTCACAAACATTTTTTAAACTTATGAAAGAGGGATATTCTCAGAATCTAGCATTCTCTGAATATTTGAATGAGTAACTCTCGAGGCGCGCCCTTGAGTTGTTATTAATTCTTTCAATTTCAAAACATTCAACGCTTTATCTTCAACTTATTCAGTCAATTTCCGAAAGAACTGAGTTCTTGAAATCTCGCATTTCTTGAATTCTTGAGTGACAAGCTCTTGAGACGCGCCCTTGGGTTGCTTGTCAGTCACCCTTTCGTCTCAAACTCAAGCTTCAACCCTATTCAAACCTCATCTTTTCGTGGTCGTCTCCACGAACTACGAACGCTCTGATTCTTTATTCATTCTTGAATATAAGATACGTAGGCACAAGATTGCGATGATCTTGGCGAGCACACTTCTATCCATCTTCCGTTTTCCCCCCACCTTTTCCCGTAGTCGAACTACGACGCTCTGATTTCTCATTCTCGTCCGAATGAGCATACGTAGGCACAAGGGCCCCAATCCTTGGCGAGCACCCTATCCTCTAACCACCCATCTCTCCTTTGCGTCTTTAACCTTTTAACCTACCAATTCTACCTTTATCAACGAGAAGAAAACAAGTAAACCTAAACAACACTCCCCACATTTACCTTAAGAGGTTCCCGTCGAGTACGACGGACGTGAGGGGTGCTAATACCTTCCCCTCACGTAACCGACTCCCGAACCCGGAACATGGTTGCGACAGCCCTGTTCCTATCCTTTCGTTTTTAAGAGGTTTTCTCGATATTTTCCTCTCCCATTTATTCGGGAAAATAAAGTTCGGTGGCGACTCTGTCGAACCGCATTTCCGCGCCTTTCGCGCGAGGGTCGTATGTTCGAAAGAAATTTTCGAGGTGCGACATTTAGTAACATAAATCCTTACCAAATATGCACGCAACAGATCATATATCCACTGCCATTGAGTAATGGGTAGCAACTAAAAAAAATTTAAGAGCTCTGTACCACAGAGTTAGTATCTGAAAATGAAAAAAAATTGCAATCAGAAGCATTTAGGCATTTAACGTACACCATTAAAAAATAAAGAGCTACTGAAATTTACCAATGTCTTGTCTATTATCATGTTATGCCAACATGTTAATTAATTTTCAAGAAAGTACCTAATGTTAGGCCAAAATCACTTAGATGCATTTACATTCAATCTCTTTAAGTTTGATGGATTTGTTGCTGTTGGGGTTAATAGCTACTAAGCAAGAGACATGTTATGTGTGTTTAGTCCTCACCAACTTCCCAACAACATTTTCGCGTGACTTAACTTCAAAACAAAGTGTCGTCGATACATTATTGTTGTCCACTAAACTAGCAAAGCTTGAACTGGCGTCGTACAATGGAACCTTACTTCCTTGTATATTGACAGATATTGTCCTGCGACGCTTTCGCTGTTAATGATATTTTTTTAACTGCAACAACATAGAATTTAACAGTAAGAACGAATGGTTTCATTATCAGATATCAGAAACAAAAAAGCGGTTTCTGCAAAAAAAAATTTAAGCTTTTTACAAACAAGATCAGTTAACATACCTTTATGCGTGTGTCCTTTCATAAAACTCAACAGATTAAAATGATGTTCATGTAACATTCACCTGAATGGAAAGTTTGAGCAGCCCCCCACAACAAACCCCTGCAGAAAACAATAAACACAAACAATGAACACGATAATTGTTATTAGATTGTAAAGCTATTACAATTATTGAGTATTATCTGAAAGATTATGGTTTACGGTGTAGACTTTAAACACTAAGCTCCATATATAAATTAGCCATTCTCTATAACAAATCAGAATTAGGGTTGTGATATAAATGATTGGGAAGCATCTATAACCATATATGAGCTTGTGATTTTGATAGATGTAGAAAAACAACATTTTAAACTAAAAACACTAGTATATAAGTAAATAAGAATTAAACCTGCAATGTTTGAACCATCTCATCCAATAAGAAGATTCCAAAGTGTAGCAACAATAACAAAATCACTTGACCATTACACGAATTAAAATCGCTTGACCATCCCCACCCCTCGAAACTCACTCTTCAAACCATCACCTGACTCGCCGTCGACCCTACTTACCATTACACGAATTAAAACTATTGTGGATTCTGATTCTGTCTTCACTGATACATTCATGAAGGGGTTTTGTGACAGAATTTGAGATAAAGAAAAGATCGGGAAATTGAAAGATGCAGAGGGATTTTGAGGTTAAATTGAAGAAGGAATCATTAAAAAGGAATTGAAGATGGTTGAGTTTAAGATTTTGGGATTTTTCGGAAACCGTGGGGTCCACAATTTTTTTTTTATATTCTTTTAAGCTTAAACATGTTTTTAATCTATAATTTATAATGTATTTATAATCTTCATAAAACATATATATAATGTATGCATCATTTAGTCAAGAGGCAATGTTTGCTAGTTTCGTGGAGACTAGTGACTTGTCCCAAACCTAGAAGGGTGGGTTTGAAAGCTTAGGGAACGGGCTTTTGTTGTTATCGGTCTAGAAGGGTGACCCGGTTTAAGTGTAAAAACCGAAAAAATGATAACATGTGTTGGTACCACATGGCATAAGTTGCATTGAGTTGCATTGAGTCACATGATGAATGTGTATTGTTGTATGAAAGTATGCTTGTATGTGAAGTATTGAATTGAGAATTATGGATGTATGCATGATGAAATATGCTTGGTAATTATCCATATTTATTTGTACATATGTTGTGATGTATGTGATGATTAAAATGAATTGTGGTGAGAAATGCGGAATATGTGTATTCTATGTTTGTGTATATGTATATATATATATATATATATATATATATATATATATATATATATATATATATATATATATATATATATATATATATATATATATATATATATATATATATATATATATATATATATATATATATATATATATATATATATATATATATATATATATATATATATATATATATATATATATATATATATATATATATATATATATATATATATATATATATATATATATATATATATATATATATATATATATATATATATATATATATATATATATATATATATATATATATATATATATATATATATATATATATATATATATATATATATATATATATATATATATATATATATATATATATATATATATATATATATATATATATATATATATATATATATATATATATATATATATATATATATATATATATATATATATATATATATATATATATATATATATATATATATGTATGTATTGATTATTATGATAATGTTTCTCACCCTTCTACTGTTTTATAATGCTCTATGAGGCATTGTAGATTAGGATTGCTGGAGGTCTTTTGTGAAGTATACCTTCATTCTTTTGGTCGATTATGCTCTGATATGTAGCACCAGGTAGTTAAGACTGTATAGTATTCTTTTGGGATACATTTTGTATATGTATCTGATGGTAAATGTTTATGTAAACGAAGGATGTGATGAAACAAACTGAATGATATGTATTTATATGATTACATGTTTTAAGTAATTAAATGTTTAGATTTTCTGCTTTAATTCTAAATATTGAGATGTGGGTGTAAGGACTAAGTTCCTCTGTTGACTAGCCCACTGTTGCATGTCTTTTATAGAGCAGGTGTTGTATGTTATTTTGGTGAATGATGTGGCATACTTCTTTTATACCATGTTTCAAATTTACTCTGATGAAATTTTATTATGTGCTCATGTGATTTATTTGTTTATTTGGGGGTATAGAAGGGGGTGTTACACCAAAGACCAGTAATATGCATGCTTCACGTAGTCAATCACCGATGAAACATAGGGAAAATTTTAATCTGATCAGTGTGATGGTGGGCGATGCTTTTGGTGTGAACATGACCTATGACAAACCTGAAGATTTTGATGGGGAAGAGTTTCCGAATGAGGAAGCGCAAATTTTTTATCAGTTGTTGAATGAAATGAATATGCCATTGTTTGAGGGGTCGTCAGACTCAAAGTTATCAATATGTGTGAGATTATTGGCTACCAAATCAAATTGGAATGTTCTTGATCATTGTTTGGAATTCTTCGCAAAAATGATGCTCGATTCGACTCCTACGAAAGATAACTTGCCTACATGTTTTTATGATGCAAAGAGGTTGGTGTCGAAGTTGGATTTAGAAGTAAGAAAGATTGGTTGTTGCATTAGTGGTTGCAAGTTGTTTTATGACAATGAGTTTGTTACTATTGGTAGAGCATTGAAGGAATGTAAGTTCTGTAAGAGTCCAAGATATAAAGTTCATAGTAAAGCCATTGGCCGTAAGCAAAAACGTGTAGCAGTGAAGTCCATGTTTTATCTTTCGATAATACCAAGGTTGAAAAGAATGTTTGCTTCAATGCACAGTGCAAGTTAAATGACATGGCATCATACAAACAACATAAGTTCAGACACTATGCGACATCCATCTGATGGCGAGGCATGGAAGCACCTTGATCGCATACATACTGATTTTGCTGCAGAACCTAGAAATGTGAGGCTTGGATTATGCTCTGATGGTTTTACTCCATATGTCCAAGCGTCTGGAAGTGGGTATTCTTGTTGGCAAGTCATTGTAACCCCTTACAACCTCCCTCCTGAGGTGTGCATGACAAAACCATACATGTTTTTGATCTACACCATTCTAGGACCATCGAGTCCAAAAGCCGAAATCGATGTGTACTTATAACCTTTAATTGATGATTTGAAGAGGTTGTGAATTGGAGAATGGACTTATGATATATCAAGTAAACAAAACTTTACTATGCGAGTTGCCTTGATGTGGACTATTAACGACTTTCCAGCATATGGCATGTTGTCTAGATGGGGTACGCATGGAAAAATGGGATGTCCGCATTGCATGGGGAACACCAAGGCGTTTACGTTGGAAAAAGGGGGGAAAGTTTGTGGTTTGACTATCACCGTAGATTTCTACCAATAAATCATCCTTATAGAATAAACAAGACTGATTTCAAAAAAGATGAACGAGTAACAGATTTACCTCCGCCTCGATTGTCACCAGGTGAAGTATGGAACCAAGTTTGCGATCTACCAAAATTCACAGATATTGGTAAAGCATGTAGAATTCAAGGATATGGGGTCACACATAATTGGACCAAAAAAAGTATATTTTGGGACCTTCTATATTGGAAAGATTTGCGCCATAATCTTGATGTTATGCATATTGAGAAGAATTTTTTTGATAATGTATTTAACACTGTGATGGATGTTAAAGACAAAACTAAAGATAATGAGAAGACTAGACTAGACATGGAAATTTGGTGTAATCGAAAAGAGTTGGAGTTGAAGCGTCAACCAAATGGAAAATTGTTAAAACCTAAGGCGAATTACAGTCTAACTTCTCAAGAAGCTAAAGCGGTTTGTCGATGGTTAAAAGAATTGAGAATGCCTGATGTTTATGCTTCAAATTTGACAAGGTGTGCCGACATTAACACTGGAAAGTTGCATGGTATGAAAAGTCATGATTGCCATGTTTTTATGGAACGATTGCTTCCAATTGCATTCAGTTCACTATTCAATCACGTGCTTAAACCACTAATTGAAATTAGTCAATTTTTTTAGAGATATTTGTGCGTCAGCTTTAAGAGTGGATGACATCGTTAAGTTGGACCGAAATATTCCAGTCATTCTCTGTAAGTTGGAACAGGTATTTCCGCCTAGTTTTTTTGACTCAATGGAACATCTATCTGTGCATCTTGCATATGAAGCTTTTCTTGGCGGTCCGGTTCAATATAGGTGGATGTATCCTTTTGAAAGGTTAATGGGTGATTCAAAGCGATCAGTGAAAAATAAAGCTAAAGTTGAAGGATCAATATGTGCACATTACTTGCATCGAGAAACATCTCATTTTTGCAGTCACTATTTCAATCACTTGATGTTAACTCCAAGAATCATAAGGAATCCTATAAATGTTAACAAAAGAAGTTAATTTACCTTATCAGTCTTTGGGCTTCCTGGTCGTCCCTCTAGAAAGAAGGGTGTGCATTGGCTGACTCAAAAAGAAATGCAATCAGCACATGTTCATGTCTTAATTAACTGCGTTGAAGTTAAACCATATCTTGAGTAAGTATATCCCAACAGTTTAATATTATTTACCGTATGAATACAAAAATTATTACCTTGAAACTTATAATGTGTTTCTTTATAGGGAATTTAACATCTCCTACTTTCATAGCACCGGTGTACAAGCAACATCCGGTCACATACATGCTCATTTTCCAGCATGGTTCAAGGAGAAATTATCATGTATTTTTGCACCGACTCAAGAAATACTCCATCTGAGAAACTTGTCTGAAGGCCATATTCAAAGCGCAAATGAATGGCACACATACTTTGTGAACGGATATAAATTTCACACTGAGACATGAACTGAAGGGAAAAAAGCCATAAGTAGTGGTGTATTTATAAAAGGAGTTACAGATGGTGGTGAGGATGACTTCTATGGCTTTGTTAAACATATCTACGAGTTGGTATACAATTATTTGGACTTAGAAAATAAAGTTGTCTTGTTTTATTGTGACTGGTACGATCCATCAGCCAGAGGTACAAAAATAGATAAGACATATGGTACTGTTGAGATTCGAATGGACCGAAGGTACAAAGAGTATGACCCTTTCATAATGTCACATATTGTTAGACAAGTTTACTATGTTCTTTATCCTTCAATTGTACCACGTAAATGAGGGTGGTCTGTTGTAATCAAAACAAAACCATTGGGTCATATTGAAACTAGCGATCTAGTGGAAGATGTTGCTTACCAAGTTGATGAAGTTGAACAAATTAATGATGTGATTGCAGTTGAACAAATTACAAGCTTGTCTGATACAACTGTTGAGGGGCAGCAAGTTGATGCGTCTATATTATTGGATAAAAATGACAATCACGACGAGCATGAACAGTTTGGATCCGAGGATAATATCACATCAGATTATGATAACGATATGGATGAACATGATTTTGAATAAATTGTTTTTGTAATTTAACTTGATGGAACCTTGTATTGAATGTGTTATCAATATATATCTATGTGATTGTGTTTTTTAAGATTTATTATTTGTGTTGTTCATGAATATATATATATATATATATATATATATATATATATATATATATATATATATATATATATATATATATATATATATATATATATATATATATATATATATATATATATATATATATATATATATATATATATATATATATATATATATATATATATATATATATATATATATATATATATATATATATATATATATATATATATATATATATATATATATATATATATATATATATATATATATATATATATATATATATATATATATATATATATATATATATATATATATATATATATATATATATATATATATATATATATATATATATATATATATATATATATATATATATATATATATATATATATATATATATATATATATATATATATAATGTGTATTCTATATAAATAGTAAAATGCCACCTCGAACTGATAAAAATAAGAGTAAGAAGTCCCAACGTCTGAGGGTAGTAGTTTGTCAGGCACCTTAGTCGGCCATGTGTCCTCCTCCACAAACTCAGTTAGATTCTATGTCCATGTCCAGTTCTCAGCCTTTCATAACATTGCTCTCCTCTAAGGAGTATCCAACTTTTATTAGCCCATCTGAGGCTCCAGCTTTTATTAGCTTATCGGGGGCTCCAGCTTTTATTAGCCCATCTAGGGGCCCTAGTTATCCATAACAGCAGATACCCTCATTCTTCACACAGTCTGGGGGATCTAGCTTTCCACCTCCCTACCAGCAGGTTCCCACACCCTTCATGCAGTCGGGGGGATCTACTTTTCCAACTCCCCTACAGGTACCCTCATCCTTCACACAGTCTGGGGGATCCCACCCCGCATAGACCACACAAGTACCTTTACCATCCACACATATACCTATGCGTGAGGATAATGATGAGGAGGCAGTTTATGACGATCATGAGGTGGATGATGAGGAGCCAACTGAGGACGATGAGGAGGAGGCTCCCAATGATGAGGTGGTTCAAATCATTAATGGAAGATATTTTATTTTGCCCAGCGGAAATTTGTAAGTTTTAAATTTTTAAGTATACATGTTTCCATTTTTTTATATTAACTTATATTTCATATTAATATAAATTATTGATGTTTAGTTTCGAGCCGAGTCGGACTGCTGCCTAGTGTATAAGTTATGTTATTCAGTAAAAGTATAAAAAAGCTTGGAAGAGATTTAGAGAAGTTAAGGGGGATGAAAGAGAAGCTTGGTTGTGAAGTAAAAATCACGTCGCTAGTTGTGAAGTGAAATTCACGTCGCAACTTGCCACGTGAATATCACGTCGCAAATTGCCACATGAATATCACGTCACAACTTCCTTACACACGTCTGCGACTTTGTCTGCTACACTTGTTGTGACTGAAACTATGTTTTATTTGTTGCTACACTGGATCTTTTCTGTTCACGGTGAAGTGATAGCACACACAGAACCGGAGCTCTGGTGCCAACTGAAGGTGAGAAAATGCTTAGAGAGGGGTTGAATAAGGATTTAGAAAATATTATGGCAATAAAAACATGATGATTTTTATTCTGGTTCATTGAACTCAACTAATCCAGTCCACCCTATCAAGAGTGATTTGCCTTTCTCCACAAGGACTTAATCCACTATAATCAAACTGATTACAATATCAACCACTAAGAACAACTGTCTTAGTCTTCTCAATAACTACTGACCACAACTTGGTCTTCTCAAGGAACTTTTACAATCAAATGTAAACTAAATAAGTGTTTGAAAAGCTTCTAAGAAAGCTATATCACAACTGTGATGTACACTTAAGTTTAAGAACGTATGAAACTATTCAACAAAGAATAATAATTTCTATGAGAGATTTGAGAGAGATTTCAATAGTTTTGTCAATTTTCGTTAATGTTCGTCAATTGAAGAAAGTTGTTGAAGGCTTGCTTTTATAGGCAGAGAAATCCAAGACGTTGCAAGTTTGAAGACATTGCACTGCAAAGTAGCTGTAGCCTTTTTGTCTTCACATCACTTGACCTTTCCTAGAAGTAGAATGTTCAGAGAAATCCTTTTTGCCTGAGTTCTTGTGTCTAGCATGAAAGAGGAAAGAGTCGTTTGGCATAACCAACAGATATAACTTTGAATAATATTCTTCAACAAGTTTCTATTTCACAGCAATCAACATTAGAGCCTTGAGTGATCAGAGTCTTGATGTCTTCAGAGTTTGCTGTATCAGAGTGTTGCAGCAAGTGTGCTTCAGCGTGAAATTAATCAGAGCAGAGTTTGAAGATCAGATCCTCAGTACTTGCAGCG